CCACATCCAGGGCTGGAATGAGCTGTCTCTGTTGCCTCTCCTGCATTAAAAACATTAATGTCCAAGACTTGAAACACAACTGAGTCAAAATGATGACTCAGCCAGAAACCACAAAAGGCAAATATTTCACTGGCAGTTTGGACATCAGATTTGACACAACTGGCAATGGCATAAATCCCTGAGGACACACAGCATTCAGAGTGCAGCACAGAACTCCTGGATACCAGGCAGTTCTCACAGGGCTGCATCCAGTTTCCTCCATTTAAAAATTCCTATAGCTATCCCATGGACAGCAGAAGCCCAGCTTGATAAATTAGATGTAGAATACAGACCCAGCCAGCAAGGATATTGCCATGTAACAGCTAAGCTACAATAATGCCTGAACTATTTCTTGTAGCATGTGCCATCTCACACGCTGCAGGCAGCTCCAATAACATTGCTGAAGATATTTCTAGGGAGTGGGAAATTTGATATTTAGCATGCAAATCTAGAGGACTTAGGTAAGGATGCACTGGGATTTCTTTTCAGTGGTTCCAAGGCAAATCAACCCTGCTCTCAATTTTTAATTCAGCAAGGCTACAGCTTTACTATGTGAAATTTCCAATCAAACAGTGGATAAAAATAGATAGGGTTACATGGGGCTGTGGCATACTGGCACACCAAGCATGTGTAATCCCTTCTGCATATACAGGTTCATTCAGGTTTCACTGCAGGGCTCCCATATTCCCAGTGCTTCACTTGTTTTTCATTAGCAGTCCTCACCACTCTCTCCACTCTCTTCTGGTCTTTGCTGAAGACTGCCCTAGCCAGGGAGTCTGTACCACATAATAATTTAAATCAGGGACACTTTTCCCTAGTTCCCTTACTGAAATTTTTCTATAGGTATAATCTGGACTACACACATGGCTGTAGCAGTTACAAAAATGCTCTGAAAAGGTTCAAATTATTTAAAAAAATTATTTTAATACCATAGAACACTCCTCTCATTAGAGGGACTGCATCACATTAATTAGCCAGCCACAGCAATAGTTACCCAAAGCATGAAACAAAATTGAGGTAACCCTAATTCTTTCCATTAATCATGAATGACCAGTCTACAATGTGTGTGTCCATGTGAGCGTGTAAAACAGGCAGAAAGATGAAAAGCAAGCAATAACAGCCCATAGGAGTTTCCTAAGGGACTGCTCCCCACATAGGGAATAACAGTTAAGGAAAAGTGAAAAGAAGTTTAAAACCAGACACATATCCATCAACTCAATTAAGACTGGAGGAGAAAAGCTAACTGCTGCCAGGTGGCACGAGCAGCTAATGCTCCTCCAAGGTGGAGCAGCAGAGGAAGCACTGGAGAAGGGACTTGGCTGCCTGTGAGCAGAATTAATGGGTGGTTCTGGACTGGCTGAGCTGCTGAGCCTCAGCTTCTCAGTGAGTTGTTAGTGGGGAACATGGCAAGTTAGGAAGTAATGAGGACTTTGTCAATACAGCTGTGGGTAAAAGTGGGTAAGGAACCACTTAAGGAAAAACAACATCACACAAATCTGCGACTACAGATTCTGCACTTTCCGGTGCTTAAGAAATTACTTGCAACAATTTTGGAAGCGTTACAGGGGCTGACAAGCCAAACATAACCACGGGACAAATCTTTTTACTAAGCTAGAAGCAGCAAGAAAGAAACCTTAACAGTACCCTCATCTACAGTTCTTTTTGGTGTTCTTTTTTTTAATTCCCAAGAAAGCAAAAGAATCACAAACCTAAATAATCCGTAGCCTCCTGCAGGTGGAAGCACTGGAGGAGCACTGCTTTTGTAGGCAACACCCAGCACAAGATAAATGGCTCCAGCGTATCCCAGCTGGGTGCAATAGGGAAAGGGACCCCACAGAGGTCCACCCTCCCCCTGTACTTCCATGCCTGACAAAATAGCCATCTACATGGTCAGCAGACCCATCCAGGGTCAGCAGAACTGGCTTGTGTTGGTGCCAAAAAATCAGAGAGTCTCAGCCAAAGTGGCCAGATTGAAGGAATATGAGTTTGGGGTGGGAGGGGATCACACATCCATCTTATGGTTGGGTTTGTCAGCATTTAGGAAGTGGGGAATATTTTCCAGGTTTTCTAAGCAATTCTGGCCACTCTCCACTCCTCCCCCTCCCATGAAAGCAGCTCCCCCCAACAACAAGAGTTTCACTATATCATCATTTTTCCCTTTTATTTTCTGTAAAGATAAACACTATTAAAAACATACCACATTCTCATTTCTTTACCTTCATGAAGAGCAAACACAGAGAACTGCTCCCTAGAAACAAAGTGGTGGATTTACTCAAAGGTAAAAATCCCTTTTTATATGCCCCCAAGGCTCTGAGGGAGGTACTTTCTGAGCTGGAAAGTGCTAAGCCAGGCAGCAATGCCACCATACTGGATTCCCCTCTCACATCCAGCCTCTGCAGGAGGACATGTGCAGCCTTTGCAGTTCAGCCTGGTTCAGAGCCAAAATCTAGGTGGGCTGGAGATGAGTGGGAAGAATGGGATGGTCTCATGGGGCCATCAAGCCCTGCAAGTGCTGGGAAAATCCTGTGGCTGCATCACACAATCCTCTCTAACCTGGGCTTGCACTGTCAGGGAGGAGGGGGCCAAGACAGTAGCCAGGTTGGCTTTATAAAGAGCCAAGGACAACACCTATTTCATGAAAATACCACTACAGCCAGATCCACATTGTCCTGGCTTCTCTGCACAGAGAGGCCAAGGATAGGGAAAGATGCCTGGACCTTCTTGCTTCCTTCTGGGCTTCTTACAAAATAAAAGCAATTGCTGCAGCTGGAGAGCGAATACAGCAACAGATATGTTGCATATCTTGCAAATATTTTGCATGTAAAAGTGTCACGTTTAACAAACCCAACTCCCTGCAACTCACAAAACCCCATCATGGAAACCGAAACCTCCAGAGGTAAGTCGTGAACCACAAAGCGTAACTGCCTGTAAAAAAACAAAATATGGGAAATGGGTAGGAAGGCTCCTCAGAGCACTACTGCTAAGTCAGCCTCACTGTTCTCCTTCCTGAGCAGCACAGGGTGGTTCCATCCAGCTGGTGAAACTCCAAAGCTCAGCTCCACGGGAATGTCCGGGCTCACACTCAGCCCTGCACCGCTCCCACTCCAGCACTAAGTACTGACGCATGTTTGATCAGGCAGCAGGAGATGGATCTGCTCCTTCCAGAGGTGACCACACGCTCCTGGCAATAACACCGAGTACTCGCTCTGGCCCTCGCCGCACGCCGCAGTCGTGCACTGCCCTGCCAAGGGAAGGCGTCCTGCCAGATGCAGGGCTCAAAACAAAGGCAAGAACAATCGCTTCAAATAATCAGTACTTCAAGTGTCCTAACAAAGAGGACATGTATTAAGGCAACCTCAGAGAAAGGAAAACCTATTAAAGCAAACGCTGGGAGTGATTTTTCAAATATCCCTGCCCTTTTTCACTTTTGTACAGCGAAGTCTCAAGAAATCTTACAAAACCAGAGGCTTAGCTTTATTCACCCCTGTATTTCCAGTGGCATTATTCCCACAGATGGGAACTACAGATCAGGTGAGCGTATATTATCTTTTTTTTTTTTTTAATTTTTTGTGCATACTAACCACTTCTGGATATGAGTTAGGCCTTTCACAATAGCAAGACTGGATGACAAATCATGAAATTAAAACCAATTTAAAAAATAGAGAAAATTCTGGATTCTTGTCATTTCCCTTCTGTTTTTTTTCATACTTTGGAAATAACAGAACAAAAAGTGACAACATGATCACAGAGCGACCCAAACTTGCAAAGAAACAAAATGCCATCCAAAGGCAAATGGCAGAATTCCCAGTAACATCATTAATGCCAGAATTTCATCTTGTATGCTCTTCTGCAACTGGTAAAAAACTATTTCAATTACGATATCATATTATATACCATCTACAATACACACACAATGATACCCTCAAATGCTGCTTTTGAGATGCAGACCTCATCCTGCAACAATAGCCAAGCCCCATATGTGCAGATCAGAGTTTGGCTCACATGTACACTGCCATACACACTCTGGGATGTAAATGTGGAGCCCAGCCTGACAAACCAGCTTGCATTTGCATTACCACAATACCCATCCAAAAATTCATATCCAGCACCTTCTAAGCACCATCCTCTCCTCTCATCTCCATACTGGTGATGCCTGGTTTAGGGCTGGTGAGAGTGTGGCAGGGAAGCAGCAGAGTGTGCCCCAGCACACAGCTGGAGACTGGAGACATGTTTTAAAAGACGGTTTGCTGGGCTTTTCACGGGAGATGGGTTTATTTTCTTGGTCAGCAATCTGTCCCCTGGGCTGGCCACCCAGCCTGCGCCTGCCAGCTTCAGAGGCGTCTCCTTCTCACCTTACACCAGGACCCTGAGCCAGGACAGGGCTAGAGGTGCAGCTCCCAGGCCCTGCCCATCCCTGAAGCAGGGACAAGAGCAGCACAGCTGGCACTTGCCACATCCCTGGCCAGGGCAGCCCCGAGGTCACTCCTATGCCCCGTTACTCAATGTGGCAGGAGCCCAGCACCTTTAATGACTTCTCCTTTCTACACACTACTCTATTCATTTTCCACTTCCCCAATCACAGCTGTTGAGCTCTATTAACACGCAGGGGAAAAAAAACACATTTAAAACCCAAACCTGCTAGGCCAGAAATAGAAGTTCTCATTTTCTTTTCCAAAACACAGAATAGCTGAGCAACGACGAAAGGAAAAGGAAATCTCTCCCAAGTGCACATCTGGAACCAATTTGCTGTCTGTAGCCACTGGGTGTCACTTTTGATATATATTGGTTCAGCCTCACAGCAGTTCAGGGAGAGAAGCGGATTTCAAGGAGGTGATCCCACACCCAAGCAGACTGCTCTGCAGCCTCTCGCACACAGGCTGCAATTAGCAATTAGCCAGACAGGCTGATTTATTAACAAAACATCCTCACCACAACACCGAGCACCGTGCAGAGGCTCTTACCTCTCAGTCTGCAGCGTGACTTTCGAGGGCTCCACGTTGGGGTTTTCCCACTCCATCTGTGGACAGTGCATGAAGTAGCAAAGAGTGTACAGAGCCTCCGGCTCCCAGTAGAAGGATCCCTGCTTCTGGTGCATGGGTGTCCCGTTCCCATGCTGCTTGGCATTGAGGGGCTGCAGGTGGTGCATCGCTCGAGACACCAGGTCACCTGGAAAAGAGCAGGAGCCATGTGAATGCCGGGCGGGTCAGCTGCCTCTCCCGAGCTGCAAACTGAAAGGCAGGCTGGGTTGGTCTTCCATTTAACCTCACCTATGCAAACAGTAGAGGGTAGGACAGGATTCTGGGTGTTACTCATCACCAGGCTGAACTTTTCCTGGTGGTTTACGTGGTTTGGCGTGACATACCCAGGCTGCAGACAAAGGCCTGCAGGAGATGTGTTTCTGCAAAGATGGTGGTGTCAGCAGCATCAGGCCAGCCCATCTCAGCATCACCACAAGAGCTGGCATGCTGAGCCAGGATCACAGCTACCTACTTAGCAGTCTTTGGAGGATGCCAAAACCCCACAGCTCCAAAAAATGACCATGCAGGGTGGCACCAAAAGCTGCATGCCCCTGGTCAGAGGGGCAGTGAAATCTAGCCCCTCAGAATGAGGAAGCAGGCAGTTAGATAACACTGCAGGAGGATGTGAATGAGCATGTGGGTGAAGAAAAAAAGGGGGAAATATTGCTAAAAGACCGTATAAAGAATGTGCAACAAAAATTAATTTTTTAAGTCCAGGCTAGGCCTGGAAAACTTCATGTTAGCAGAAAAACAAAACCTATGAAGTAGGCTCACCTGGCCCCCCAGATTTCCAGAGCACAGAAGAGGACAAAGAGGATGATTCTTGTTGTCCCCCCTGCACCAATTTAGTTTGGGGCACTCCCTCACAAGGCAGATATAGGAATCCACATGTGGACTGGGATCAGCAAAACCAGCAAGTGAGATTACCAGGCAAAGACATGGGCAAGCAGCAGTGCAGTCTCTTAGCACAACACTGATTGTAACTAATTAACTAAAGCATCTCTCTCTGAGGCAGTGAATTTTATGTCTATTGACTGGTGACCACTCTATCAAAGGCAGGGAAACAATTGTGGTTTAAACTGCCTTTTTTTCACATGTTCAAATCACTCTGAGAGTGCTTTTGGGGAAAATAAGGATCTCGAATCAAATCAGTTGGTTTGTTTTAAATTAAAATCTGAGCAAGAGTCCTTTGGGTCATTGTTAAACTATACAACAGCAAGTGATGAGAAAAAGAGGACATAATTTTCCACTGTTAAGAAGTCACACACTTTTTCTTACTCGCTTTTCCCAAGTGACCACTGAGCACAAACTTGGAAGAAAAAGTTTAAGATGTACACCAAGGCAGGAGCATAAAACCAATTGTGGGGACATAAATAATGAACTCCTGGGCAAACTTAAAGGAGAACAGTGTGCATGGCTGAACTATAGGTTTTTGCAAAGTCCCACCCCTTTGAACACCTCTCTCCAGCCTGACTCACACAGAAAATGCTGCTGCTGCAGTGATAATGTGTACCAGGGAGAATGGAATTGTCTCACTTAAAAATCTCAGCCCAATCCTCCAAAAACGTAACCTTAAAACCATGAAGAGAAGAAAACCACTGGCATGAGGAAACTGCAAAGTCCATGATTTCAGGGTTTTGACACAAATTTTTTGCTTCACTCTGCAATAGTCTTCTGATTCAAAGCTTTCATTTAAAAATAGCTTCTGTCTTTTCCCTCTGCCAGGAAATTGTCGTGATAGGACCAATCTTGCAGCCTTGCATGCTCATAATTTCCAAGAGAAACTATGCATGTGGAAAGTATGCAGGATCAGGTCTGCAGAAGAAACAGATGTGCCTCTGAGATGACTCCCCAGTCCTGCACAAGGCTATCTGCAGACAAGCAGAAGCAGCAGGAAACTTTGGGACCTCCTTCACTCAGCCCACTCCGGTCACAGCAGATGTGCACTGCCAAGTATAGCACAAGCCAATTTAACAGCTAGCAGCCTTGTTGATGGTAAATGTCTCTCCTTTTCTCCAGAAGGCAAAAAAAAAAATGCATAGAAATGCTGGCTGCAACATCCAGCTTTAACAATAATAGTAAAGGCAGAGAAAAAGGGAGACGCACTAAATTCAGCCTTTTCAAACCCAAGCCATCACAGCACTGAAGAATGTGGGCAAAGCTTAGCACACAGCCAGTCTCATTTCAGTGGATTGAGACAGCAGGCACTAGAGAATGCCTCTGACTTCCGTCATGAATGATGAATAAAAATTAAGATAAAATTTCAGTCCAGATTCTGGCAGCAGCATGACTTCATCCCACTCCTCCCTGAGCGCTGGAGTAATGTGACCTCAATGACACACTCAGGACCAGAGGAAGCTGCACAGTGAATAAGAAGGGAAAGCAGCAGCAAGAATGATGTGAGCAGGACAGGCAGCTAAGCATCACTGCTGATGCAATGCTGGAGGAACTCAAGCCTTGCTGGAAGGCAAAGCACCAATCCATATCAATATGACCAGGAGTTCACCCTTTTATGCTGTATTTCCTCTACTGCTTCCTAAAAAACCGAAAACAATTCATACCATTCAAAGCTGAATTAATGCTTTTTATATTTAAGCCTCATTTAATTACATTATACTGAGAATTGATGGCTGAGATATTTCTTTTGCCTTTGCTACTCTTTCTCTGGTAACATTTGAAATAATTTCTGCATTAGCAATTATTGTAACATTCCTTTACCAATAAGTTGACTTATTTCTTTGGGGCAACTCAAAGCCTACATAATCAATACCTGTAAAACACTGAGCTTCACAGAGCACAGTAAGCAAGCATAAAAAGCCCCATTATATTGGTACCCGATGGGCAGAGCTGTAGAGGAAGGACAGGAATCACTGCTCTGTTTTATACCACAGCGGAACCTCGAACAATCCGATACATGCCCTAGTGCCCTTTGCCTCCTTCAGCCGCATCCAGTTACAGCAACAACTCTCCAGGGCAGGGACCGAGCCTCAGCGGATCTGTTCCCCAGGATCAGTGCCAAGAAGGCACAGGGAAGCTGACAGGCACATGCACACACTTCACAGCAGCACTTAGGCAAACTCTGTAAAATGTAGCCCAGCGCAACATCTGGTTCTAGGTGTGTGTGTGTTGTCTTGAACCCCTACCAGGTTTTGTTCCTTCTATTGTTCCTTGCAAATATGCTTTTTCTTCTCCATTTCCTTCCTAAGAATATACCAAGAGTTGAGACTCTCTTTGATTCCAAGGCACCCAAAGCCCATAGATGTGAAATCAGCTTCATGATGGGACTCACTGGTCTGCTCTCCAGCAATCAGCTAACTCCAGCCTCAACTGGGAAACCCAAACTACAAATGATCTCCTTGCCAGCTGTAAAAGCTGTGCCATGTCTGAACAATGAGGGCAACCTTGAATTTATGGCCAAGCACAGAAAGATAAGCCCCCTTCACAAGCCTGTGCTATCCCTTCATCAGTGTCAACCACCTCTGCTGTTCAGGGCTGTACTCGTCACAGAAAGGCGCTGCAAGGGCAGGTTACCTGCTCACAGCACTGCTGGCTTTTCTGGTTTTTTTTTTGGCCCTGAAAGTATGTCTCAGCTGTATCAGCTGAACACATCTGAAAGGCCAATAAATTCCTCGGTGCATCATTTCCAGAAAGAACACATCTAAAATAAAATTCCCAGCAGCTGCATTGACCTTGTGACTCCATGAATGAGGTTCCTGATTGCTGTGGCATCATGACCAAAGGGGTTTGGCAGGGATCCCTGCCTTGCCCTCCATTGATCAAATTCTCACCCTGCTCCACCACCTGAAGAACAGGCTGGGAAGCTGATCTGCCTGACAGGAGAGCTTGCCAATTTTATTTTGTTTTAAAATGAAACTCAATGAAAACTTCCATAATTTACGCAACATAAGCCAAGTGAGCCAACGCACAAACTGCTCTGCAGGCACAGCCAGGGAAATGAAAACATCACATTGTGCAGGGTAAACATAAGAAAAATGAAAAAGAACAGCGAAGTGGGAGGACATTTCAGGACATTTTTGTTGCCAAAGCTCGGAAGCCACAACTAGAGGACAGGCTCGCAGAGGGCAGCAAAGGCAGTGGCAAGCCCCAGGCTGTCGCTGCCTCGCAGCCCTGATTCCGGATGGGGAAGGGCTCCAGGAATGCGGATGCACGCTGGAGCTTGTCAGCCCAGAGCAGAAAGGCCGTGCCTCGCACAGCAGCTAGCAAACCCCAGGAAAGCACCTCTGCACAGCAGCGTGTGCCGAGCTGCCACTTCACCCTGCCCAGGACTAAAGCGGGGCTCGCCCGTGGCTGCCGCTCTCAGTTCAGCACGGCCGGTGAACGCAAGGTCCGCATACATTTGATTTAAAGATTGAAAATATTATGTAATGCGCATGCTGTGACACAGGCCTGGTTTAAGGCAACACTGAATATTTAGGGAACAGCTTCACTGACTTCAAGCCACAGATGTGATGTGACAGGCAAAGTAAAGCTGCTCCCATCTGCATGGGGGTGCAGTACAACATACAACAACATACAGCATGCAAGTGGGCAGCTTCAGCCTAAGTTCTCTCTGCAGTGACCAGTGAAACATTTTTTTAAAACCATGTTTGGCTTCAGTAAAAGCTATTAACACTGCTTTTACTATATTAGAGCCTGGTGTTCAAAGAATAACACATCTGTTTCCAATTTTGTACTGGGGGGTGGGGGGTGGGCAGAGGAAGGCAAAAAAGAAAGAAGAGAAAGAAAATGACAGATACCCAATGCCCATGTCTGAGAAGTTTCCTGTGGGATTTTCTGATCTGTCATGATGGACCTGATGATGCTATCCCGTTTGCCTAGGAGCAGCCTAAATATTTTCAGACTGAACAACTGCCAGAGCCCAAAACCATTCAGCTGAGTGTATGCCGGCAGAGCCACAGCCATGACGTGAATGACATGGACAGATCCTTACACAGCCCCTCCATATGACACCTACCTCATGTTTTTCTTGTTCCAAAACCATGTCCTAAACCTACCAGAACAACTTAGCAATGATGTCTTTGCACACTGAAACCGAACCACGCAGTTCTTTGACCTGTTTTTTTCCTTCAAAACCCAGGCGAGAGAGAGGAGCCTCTGTTTCCACCTGGTGCCCTGCTGGGGCACTGT